CAAAGAATTCTTGGAATCTACTGCAAAATGTCTCCAAGAATTACAGAATAATTTAATATTTCTTCAAAATCTAATTAAATCTAAACATTCATCAGCACAAGAACATTTTAACTATAGCGATCAAAATACTTTAATGTCTCACCTCAATAATATTGTTACCTTAGATGATTTTGAAAAAGCACAAAATCTAATCAATGTTATATACAAAGAAACAGGTCATCATAGATCCGTAGCTTCTGATATTAGCATTGTTCCACTTGAACAAGAAAAAAACAGCATCGGAAACCATCATACAAAGGTTAAACTATATGAATGCATAGCATGGTTACCTATTTAATAAAGTATAAACAATGTAATATATGTTTAGTAAAACATTTATATAAATGTCTTAGAGAATTTTTCTATTACTTACCTATGTATTATTTGTTGTACCCCACATAATATATAGTATTTCTAAAATTTAAAATATGTGGGCCCCATATGCTATACTCTATAATATTAAAAAGTTTTTTGTATTATTCATTAAAGCCAGTTGATCACCTGCATTTAATCTAATTATGTTCGCTTAACAAATTAATATGCGTCTTTACTATTTTATTTTAAGTGTAAGTTAACATAAAAAAAAAATATACTTAGCGAGACCAGCGTAGATATTAGTATTAAAGTATTATTAACTTTTAAACAACATATACATGAAACTTTTTTTTAAGAACGATCGCTACAGTTTGCTTATTTTTTTTTAAAGTTTTTATTATTATTATTATTATTTAATACATGTAATGAATATTACTAAGTACTATACTTTCTCTAATTCTTTTTCTAGACTCTAGCTCTGATTTCTTACTTTTTTGAAAAATGAAATTTCACTAAACTTAAGCTATTCGGTATGCAAAGACGCTCAATACTTAAAAAATTTTAATATGTAACGATTTGTATAATGATTTTGTATAACGGTATCATGTGATGTTAAACCAACATCTACAATGATCAACATGAAAAATGGGTTGGTAATATCGGTCTAATTTTAGTCAGCTGGTTAAGCCGCTCAGCTCGGCTAATATCGGCTATAGCTATAGCCGGCTATAGCTAGCTGTGGCCATAGCTGTTCCCATCCCTACTGCCTTCACTAGAGACATTACTATCCTCAAAATATATTATTAATTAGCAATATCACTTATACTGTATATTTTTCTAATTATTACTATATTCGTATTTGTATCTATCAAAAGAAAACTCAAGCAATTTCATTCTTTATTTATGTAAATTCTTAAATAATAATTCTATTTTTAAGTTATTACAACCATTGCATTACCGTCTTTATATTATTAATCAATAT